TTCATCATTAATTGCTATAGAATCGAGCAATATGAATATTATATGTAGTTTAAAAGATCTCCATCATCATTGTATGCTCAACGAATCATTGATTGACAATTATACAAAAGAAGCAGTGAGTGAAGCTTCTGCAATGGTTGCTGTTATGTTACGTGATTATACATCATTTTTTGAAGTGAAAGCGATGAACAATTTTACAATSAGATCATATCCTTTTAAATTGAGTAATAAATTATAAACCCATTTAAGTGAATAATTATTAATAAGAATGATATAGAAAAATAGTATTTTTTCAAGAAAGTAATTTACATTATAGGTACTATATTCTTGCCATTTAAATTATTTGTCTATCTTTTAATTTTAATCTGAACACWTAATAYTTGGTATTATTTTGRTATTTCTMTTTTGAATGATATTAAATATATTTTCCTTAATTCCATTTCTTTTACAAGGTCAACATTGAGTATTAATAAATATTTAGAAGAATTTCCGGGTCTAGTACATTTCATTTATGTAGATCGAATGTCTCATCGTATGATCGCTCCAGGTTTGGAGTTCGCTTCACAAGAAACACTTGAACTTACTAAGAAAAAGGTGAAAAAATAACAGTTTTTAAATATTTTAACTATTTATGTATATTTCGATGAGGAAGTTGAGTTTTAAACGAAAATAATGTTATTTTGTTTCACTAAGGTGTGGTCCATGATTGATTTTAGTAGACAGCATTTAAGAGATGGTCATTTTATTGTCCTTTGGAAAGACAACACATTTACATATTCTTATTTTTTGTGGTTTGAGGATCAATCGGTAAGTAGCTCTGTAACAAATTAAAACAATTTTGAGAGCGATAAATTAGTACTTTCTTTTATTTAAGTCTGTTCATAGTCTCTCTGCACAAAGATGATCTGCCAGACTCATTTATTTWTTTTTTGTATCKGACACAACATCCGGGATGTTGCATTTAATATAAAATAATTTTAATTAGTTAGGCAGTGTAATTTCTATGCTTGGTCTGACCTACTCAATAACAGGTTAACTCACTTTTGTGCATAATTTCCCTTTTCATTGGAACAAAACTAATATTTAATATTTAACTAATACCAAAGCAATTTATATTTCAAGATGGTGACCACAMAAACACATTTTTGTAAAATTACTACCAACTATATACTCTAKAAAATCATCATTGAACAAATTGAAAGTGAATCAAAAATAATCATGTGATGTATTTGAACWCSCTTGAATGCCGAAAACGAACCTTGAACTTGCCTGGTTAATTTAAATTACTTTTTTGATGAATGATTGATTTTAAAATATATTTAATTCTAACGAATTATAATTTTCTAGACTAATAGGCAACGATCACTTGCTTATAAATTGCTAAGTTAATGTAGTTTGTTGGATTAAAAACGTCGACTTCCAGTAGCAATAATAAGGTGCAAAAATTCAAGTTGTATAAAATCAAGATCATAAATAAGTTTTGAAGGTTTACTTGGCTGTTTTTGAGGAAATTAATTCATAATTGCATTTGAGAATAGCATAATCCAGTCTCCATTTGACGATAATTTTTGATTTTAGGGTACATCTTTAAAGCCAAGAGTTCAACCAACAGCTTCAGAGTTATTTCCTGGAATATTAAACGGCGATTACTACGAGTAAGTGGAAATTGGTAAAATGGTTTTTTCGTGTTAGAATTCTAATAAAACTGAATTATTTATGTTTGTAGAAAGCTAATAGAACAATGTTTTCCAAGAATGCCGAAAGGAAAAGTACGATGTTTCGAACTATTCTGTGTGCATTTAGGACTGGCWACTGCTTCCTGCGTGTTGGAACATTCCCGGAGATTATCAGCAACTGTGTGGGAAGTAACTGGGAGACCTAGTAATCTTCTAGATTTGTTTTAAACCGCTTTAAACGTTTCATTCCATTTTTTTTATTTATTTTTTGTTTTTTTATATGAAATTAACGTTCTGTTTGTATTGATCTCATAGTATGAAGTCACCAAAACCATTTTTTTTTTTTTTATATATATATATACTTCTATTGTTTGTTTATTGTTCGCGTATTTATCTATTTGTAGTATTTTATRTTATGATTTAATTTAAATATTTTATTCTAATTTATGGATTTACTCAATAACGATATACTATATTGTTTCTACTTAATAATGGTGAACTCAATACTTAAATTAAAATCATTTTTATGTGCCAATCTATTTATAAAAAATTGAATTAATRCCTGAGAAATGGGTATTTTTATTGTAAGAAATTAAAAAATAAGTGTATATTATACAAGAAAATAAATATTATAACCTACGTAGTTTTGGTGAATGTTATTCGTACGGGTCATATTGTTTGTCAAATATATGATATTGCTTTTAAATTTAACAWTTTTTTTTTATTGTTTTTAAYTTGATTAATATCAATATCATGTAGGTACATGCTTGATGTTATTATTACAACACCGGTGGAAGTTGGGTAAAACATATTGTGTGCGCGTTGATGTTAATAATTGGCCGTTACAGATTTTTAAACACCTGTGGTCATGTTAAACTATGTAGTTTCTAATAAAATATCTTATTTAGCCAGTGTTCAGTAAAAAAATTATAAATATATTTATATACTGCTATGAGTGATAAATATTTATATTTATTATTTAACGTTATTCGCTGTCAAGGAAAATCGTTTAAAAGTTTGCTAAAAGTGTCCTTGTGAATAATATATTAATTGCACTTTATTAGATAGCTTAAGTCATAAAATTGGATTTAAATATTCAAAACTTGATCACAATAGAAATAAGTATAAAAGTAAATTCAATAACTGCATTATTTGGGTTTATAAGTTTTAGTGTTTTTCCTAGTGTACGACCAGACTGAAATAGAAAGAAGGCGGTTGATCTCCTGCGCTGGAACTCCTGCCCAAAAACTGTAGACACTCCTAAATCTTAAAAACAAATATGAGTATTAAAATTAAGTTTTGTGGATAGACATATTTAATATTATAATTTCAAATAAATAAAGTTGTTTGATTATTTTATAACAAACCGTTGTATGGTATAAAAATACAGTCAAAATAGATTATAATTTTGTGAGACAATAATATTTTTGTTTTAAGTGCATAAAAACCCTATGTTTGTACATTGTAAATTTATTTTACACCAGTAGACACAGAGCACCAAGCCACGACAGGTGGTGTGATCATCTCGCAAAAGATAGGCCACAGTTGTTTGTTCAGATTTAGTATAAAATATTATTGAAATGTCCACAATTCTTGTGCGCAATCTCCATGCAGTGAACTTATTCCATGACAGCGCATTGACGCCTGATATGCAGAAACTACACTCATACTCAGTCAGCAGTCTACATGATATAAATTAGATAATAGCTGTGCATTATTATAGAATAAACTGGGTGAATGGACCTTCTGGGGACGTCCTCTTACCTTTTTACCAAAAAATCTAAGATGKTGTAACCTCTTACTTCGACCTTTTTACGTAACAAAAAAAAATTAAGTTACTTTTTAACATTGAACTTGTTTAGAAAAAATTTAAAAAAAGTGTTTACTGAAATATAAATATTTTTATTATAAGAATATGCTTATTTCATTGATTTTTTACTTAACTATTTTTTTATTCTATTTTAGTGTTTTCTGTACATAGACATATCAACTTTTCAAGTTTTATTGGTTAATATTTAAATGTTTTCTGTCGTTAACTTAAAAATATCAAATGCATGTCACAATTTATTGACAAGTAGTCAAGTTATTTCATTTTCATTGTAGTTTTGAATAAAATTTATATTATTTCCCTTGGGGGGGGGGGACAAGTGCAACATCTTAAATTTTATTTTATTTTTATTTGAATGCATATTCTAATGTTTGTAACAATGTTGGGAATTTGTTAATATTATAATAACAATTAATATTTTGATTTTAAACTGAATTTAAATAATAAACTAAACTGTTAGTACAAAACGATTGCAAAAAATAAAATTATAGTTATAGAAGTAGTACTAAAACATTGATTAATTTAGTTATAAATTATATTCAAGAAACAATTTAAACTTAAATGTAAATAATATCATGAATGACAATCTGGTTTAGTAGTATATACAGAGTGGTTTTTTTATGAAACAACACTTATATCATATATGGTGTTTGTGTGTAAATACCACCTAACATACACCTATAACACACAAACACCACCCAACTTTGGGTAATATAAACGGATTAACGAAAATTGAAAATTTAAACGTGAAAATTCATTGAAAAAATAGCCTTTTTAGTTTATRACATTTTAAGTATAGGTTGTCATTTGAAAATCAAAAGTTGATAATGGTTTACCTGATAAATATAAGGGTGAAAATATTTWAAAAAATATATAGTCCTAGAAAAAGATGGATCTAAAATTTTGAAAAAAAAAAAAATTGAAAAAAGTCAATAGTTTTTCAAATAATGAGTGTTGTTTGATAAAAGAATTACCAATATACTTTAACTGTATGTACAAATACAAAATATATATCTAAGTATATGGTACATCATTTTTTACTTATTTACTATAAAATRCTGTTGAAAATGTCTCACATGATCAAACACACATTTGCTATCGAGTCGGTTTCTACATGGCTCTCAAAAAACARTAAACACCAATGCCTCCGAGCCAACTTGAAGAGGTGTCACTTTAATAATAATAATATTTAYTAATATCAAAAACAATAACAATAATGGTAACAACATTATGCAAATTAATATGTATAAAAAATTGAATTAAATTTGTGATTCTCTTTTTAAAAACTAGGCTTGTGTTAAAGAGAGAGAATTCCAATAAATTCAAATGACCGCSGTTTAAGATTTCTAAACCGTGGGATTGACCGTGGTTATGACTTATAACTCATTATCAGTATGATCACAACATAAATCATGATTACTGTTAACTGATAAGCTATTGCGCTTTTTCGTAAATTCAAATTACTTTATTGTAGACTGTTGTAGTTACTTGTTTACCGCTTGATCATAGTCAGACATAGTAGTCAGTAGTGTAAGTATACTAGTATTAGTAGTATTCATTACTTCATTAGTCAAATGCACTAAATATTTAGTGTTTACCTATTTTCGTMTTCATTTCTGAGGAGCTTTTCAAACGTTATATGGAAACCRAGACTAGACGCGCGCGAAAGGAAAAGTCATGTCGATGAAACAATTACCGTCGGAAACGATTAAACTTATAAGCAGTACTCAGGTCATTACATCGGTGTCGTCGGTGGTGAAGGAATTAATTGAAAACTCTATTGATGCCAATGCTACCATCATTGATATACGACTGGTAATWAAAATCAAAAATAAACATTTTTATTTAATCATTTTAAAAACCACTAATTTCATGTGTTGCCCTTGGTTCGATGTTTAGGACAACTATGGGCTGGACAAGATTGAAATTCGCGACAACGGTGTTGGCATCTCACACAGTGATGTAAATGTCATGTGTTTGCGTAATTACACTTCCAAAATATCCGAAATATCGGATTTAGGTATGTCACGCTTTTTTTACTTATATAAATTTCCTGATCAAATACATTTTTAGTTTTTATACTAAACAGATAAATTGACTTGCTACGGATTTCGCGGTGAAGCACTTAGTTCAATTTGTGCTGTAGCTGATGTCACTGTCATTACAAAATCAGATTTTGATGAATATGCCAAATCGTTTAACATGGACAGCAATGGCCGCGTGAAGAATAGTTCAATTTGTCATCACCAAAAGGGTTGGTAAATTATACCTATTTTTCATTATGTGCAAGTGATTCCGATATGCCAATATCTACCTATACTTAATAATGATAAATAAAAAAAATCATTTTAATGTTGACAAATTTTGGAAGCTCTGACAATATTATTAATATATGTTTGTATCTTCTGCAACTGATATAGATTKTATCTGATACTATGTATAATAATTTATAAAAGTTTCATTTTAATGGTTTATTTTTAAATAGGTACAGTAATTAAAATAGTAAACCTTTTCAAAAAGTTGCCAGTTCGAAAACAAATTTATAGTTCAAAGAAACATTGTGTTAATGATTTACGAAGAATAGAAAATATTGTTAAATCATTAGCAGCTATTCAACAAAATATTCGTGTTTGTCTGGTTCATAATAAATCCGTGTTGTGGCAAATGACTTCAGCTATCGATTTGGTAGTGACATTTGGSCAAATTTGGTCATCATCAATGACTAAGTATGTAAAACACTTGACGTTTGCAAGTGAAGAGGTTAGTTTTTGGTGTAATTTGAGTCTGATAATTTGATATTATTTTAATTTATAATCATTTAATCACATTAGGTAAATATTGATGTAGTTTTACCTGTACAAAATATAAATGTGCAAAATTGTTTTTTTACCACAAATGTTGCCGATGCAATTTATATATATGTTAACAAAAGACCTGTCAGGGATAAAAAAATTGAAAAAGTAAGAACACAATATATGAATCAATAAGTTAATTTTTAATAATTTTAATTGGTGACTAAATGATATATTTTCATTAAATAAATAATTTTAGCTTATTGTTGGAGAATTTAATAATTATTTTGGACATTATTTACCTCCTGGAAAGTACTTGCCATGTCTTATATCTATAACCATTCCACCTGAAGCTATTGATATAAATTTGGAACCAGATAAATCCCGAATTTTATTTCATAATCAGGTTCAGTATATTGATAATTATATCATTTATCTATAATGAAATTAATCACACAAACATATTGATTATTATGACTCAAAACTTTTTACTATGTTAGTCTCGTTAGTGTTGTTATAATGTTTGTCATAATTACTCATTGCTAATGTTTACACATGTTTATAAATTTATTACTAATTCAAAATCAAATAAAAACTAATTTTCAGGATATGATACTACTTAATCTTAAAAAATGCATTACTGAATATTATTATAATGATAAAAAAGAGAAYGATCCGTCTAATAATAATAAAAGAAAAATACCTTACGATTCAGAAGAAGTCCAAGCTAAAAAATCTCCAATCTTAATGTCACAGGTTAATGATTCTTTTTTTCCAAATGCAGAGTCAACTAAAATTATTAGCAATGATTCATTGAACTCTGTATTAAACAACGATGAGCATACACAAATTGTTAAGGAATTAAGTTTAGAAGATATTGATTTTGAAGAGCCATTTATTTCAAAAAAAAATATAAGTGACAAAATGTTATGTTTGGAAAATAACAAAGTGGAAAGTACCGATGATATTTCAGAGTATCGTAAAAAGTTATTGAATATTGGAAACACTTCTTCTCTTCAAACTGATGGCGCAAGTGTTAAAAATTTTGATACTGAAGACATATCAATTTCACAATGGAGTAAAGGTGATGTAATTCTAAATGGAAAACCATTAGAGGTATTTTTTTTTTATATTTCTCTATCTTGTAGTCACGGAAGTAAATATATTAAAAAATTCTAGAGTGGAGTGGTGTTAAAGACTGATTTATTGCATGGAAATGTAGAGAAAAACAATATGCCAAAAATTGATTCAGAAACTGAAATTCTTCATTCTAAAACTGGTATAATATTTTTATTTTTTTGTATTTTATACATTAATATTTATACGGAGCAACTRTATTTATAATATTTGTTACTTAAAAAATACTAACGTATTTCCAGTAACTCAAATGGATGAAAATATTGTAATGAAAAATTATAATCCAGTAAATACAAATGATGAATCTTCAGAAAATATTTCATTCAAATCATCAAATAGTAGTATGAAGCAATTAAAACTTGAACCACTTTTTCGTACAGTTTCTGTTCCTGATGAGCAAGTTCCTGGTCTTCACCATTTAGTAAATCGTCCACAGTCATGGGTGCCTCAACCTAGATCAAAAAGACCAACAAGAGGTATTTAATTTATTTTCAAGTCTGTGTTTTTCATTAGTGTATTATGTATATTAATGGAAATAGTTTTTTTAATTGTGGTGTATTATTAGATGTTTGTTGGTTAGTTTTTTTTTTTTTATATATAGTCAATTTTATACATATAACAGAAATAATAAAAGTTTGAAACCTGAATAAACATTTTATAACATTTATAAATTTAGTTTATGCCCGCATTAATAAAAAATATTCAAATTTAACTATTGTTGATTGTTATTAATAAAAATTTAAATGATTTAGTCGGTTAATATATATTATTACATTTTAGATGTTCCTGAAGAAGATCTTTGTGAAACTATTCGTAGTGTCAGCAGTCAAATGGGAAACAAAGAGATGTCAGGATTTACACTGTTTGCTAGGGAAATAAGAACTAAAAGTATTATCATTTAGATTAGCCTTAATTAAATATTTAAATAAAAAACTATTGATTTAATTAATTTAATTTAATATAGTCATTCGAGAAAATCCAGGGATAGAATTTACAAAAGTAAGCAAAGAACTTGCCAGATTATGGGGTGAATTGAGYGAAGATGAAAAATYAAGGTATAAAAAATTGTCTAATGAACAAAAAAAAGTGGTAATATCCACTAAAACAAATGATGTAGAATTACCAAAAAAATTATTTCAATCTAYCCCTAAGAATCTTGAAAGGCATTCTACCCAAATTAACGTAGAATTATCTGAGATCAAAAGAAATATTTTTAAGACGCCTAAAATGATGTAAGTGTCAAAATTAAATATTAAACTTTAAATAAACTGTTTGAATAAATCAAAATTATATATTATCTGTAATAAAGTCATCTTACTTATATAATAACATAAAAATGTATTTTTTAAATAGTTCATCAGAATTTATGCTTGTTGGTCAAATCGAGGACAATAATTGGATTTGTTGTGTGCGTAATGAAATACAAGCTTTAAATATTTGTCGTCTTCAAGAAGCTGTAATTTTTTTCCAAAAGTTAGCTGATAGTGAGATACCTTTGAARATGTTAGACCAATCAATTATAACAAACAAAAAGTAATTATAACTTTTTGCTTTTTCCTTACAATGTAAGAAAATTATATACAGATAAAAAAATCTTGGTGAAATTTCTATGCCCATGGCACATCATCGATTTTTTTATAATGCAGCCAAGTACAGATTCTTTGTCAGCAATTGAAAATATTTGGCTATGTGTCGCGCCTGTAACAAGGTTAGGTTAGTTATGGATAACTTTGGATGGTTCTAATTGAGTTTGTCAGTGAATGAAGTTTAGTGTAACTTTATATATTTGTATTAAATATTTAAATTATATATGATAATGTTTTATTGATTGGTTCTAAAAAGCATTACTTATGATTGTATTTCAAATGTTAAATGTTTTTAGGTTTTTGGGTGAGAAAAACTATCGGTTTTTAATGGATCTGGATACTTCGTATGAACCATCAGCTGATAAATATACTATAACAGATAAAAGAATAATTAAGAATGGTTTTAATGTTGTTATTGTTTTTAATGGTATGTTATGGTTTTTTGTCAAAATATTATACTTTTATTAAATTTATATTYTTATAGATGATACTGAAAATCCTGATATAAACATCACAGATGTGGCTCTTCATATTTCAACATATGGCGYTGAGGAACTCAAACAACTTTTAGAATTAATGCAATTAGAACATGAAAATAATCTACATTGTTGCCGTCCATTGAAAGTGGTCAACTATCTCCGGGTACAATGCCATTTATTTTTAAAAATAATATCATTTAAAGAATAAACTTATTTTGATTAATTTGTTAAACTTAGAGTGAAACAGTGAGACATTGCAAAACAATTGGACTCCCTAAAACAAAAGAAGAAATAAATGACCTATTGGAGTATTGGTTTAAAAATGAGAAGTRTTTCTCTCATAATACTTGCATTCATTACAAAAAAGTTTTTTCATCAATACATTGTATTAATGAGAAATCAAGAACATAAAAATATTCGGTATTATAATCCTTGGTGRAGTTAAAGTATCATATACATTGTAAATCTTTTGTTTCTGATACTGACCACATAACAAATTAATTTTTAAATGTTAAATTAGTGTTTTAATTGAATTATTATTAAATATATTGTATAGTGTTTTTTTAAATAAATAGATAAACATGAACATTAAATATTTTTATGCCAAAAAATTGTGCCATGAGAATTTATTATTATCAAGAGTTATTACATTTCCACATTTCAGAATACATTACATTTTTTGATTTATGTTGGTGTACATTTGTTGGTACAACAACTGAGTTCAAGGGGTTGACTATGTTTTAAGTTTACTAAAAAAAAGTTAGTTTATCAAAAATATTAATCTTGTATCTAAAATTTCAGTGTGATATTGTAAACCCCCAAATTAATATTTAACTTAAACATACAGCTAGGCAAGGCCACATTMCCAGTGTACCAGTTGTATGAAACTTGGTGGCTCCAGGACCCTTGTATAGGAAGTTGAGCCCCTTCTTAATAGGAAATTAAATTAATAAATATTTGAATAAATGTTAGAAAGATTCTGATTCTAGAAAATAATACAAAAATAAAAATAGTAATAATAATATAATTTTTTAAAACTTAAAAATAAACTTTTTAATCCTTTATGTTTGATTAACAAAAGTTNAAAAAAAGTTAGTTTATCAAAAATATTAATCTTGTATCTAAAATTTCAGTGTGATATTGTAAACCCCCAAATTAATATTTAACTTAAACATACAGCTAGGCAAGGCCACATTMCCAGTGTACCAGTTGTATGAAACTTGGTGGCTCCAGGACCCTTGTATAGGAAGTTGAGCCCCTTCTTAATAGGAAATTAAATTAATAAATATTTGAATAAATGTTAGAAAGATTCTGATTCTAGAAAATAATACAAAAATAAAAATAGTAATAATAATATAATTTTTTAAAACTTAAAAATAAACTTTTTAATCCTTTATGTTTGATTAACAAAAGTTGCAGTGATTTGTTTTATGTTATGATTAAAGTAATGTGATCTGTGGTCCCTCAACTTATATCTAAATTATATTAATACACAATTCTGGCCATAAGTCAAAAAATAGAAATGTTCGAGAGTATATTAAAATTTTGAAATKTTGACTTTTAATTGTATGGGGTTACTTTATAAAAATATTCTAATATAAACCAACACTAAATTGTTAACCGAAAAACCATTACATATTTTTCTTACATAATATGGCTTTTTGCTTTGAAGCTTCTTTGCGAGTTAGAACCATCATTTATCTCTGCAGACTGTTATGACTTAAAACTGTATGTTTATTGTCTATCGAAGATGGGATCTCCATCAATATTTCGTTTATGTTTTTGGGGACTGCAAACGGATTATTTTTAAGGGGTTTGGTATAGGCAATATTTGTAGGTGTCCTACASGTTTGTGCATAATAAAGTATCAATGTATGTATCATTAGTGTGTAGGTATATACTCCCTACCAATCATCCGCATGCACATAAGATTGTCATTAGATCAAAATATTTAAAACCGATTTTCGAATGTGAAATAGCTTAACGTCTGCCGAAAACCCAATTATAAAGTTTTTCGATTTAAAAAAATGTAAAGATAATTGAATCGGTAAATTTTGCATCGGTCGGAGCACTTTTTCAATTTTAGCAAATTCTTGACGA